TGTACATTTTAAGCATGCAGCTAGGTGAAATTAACTTAAATATCTTAACTGCCAAGATAATAAGCAGCGAGCACCAATGAGTGTAGGGATTTAATAGCTCCTAAACAATAGAACAAATAATAGGCTGCCTTCACAATGTTAATGAATCCAACATTCCAATAATCTGTATAGTTGCATTCAATTTGGACTTTTGGTTTCCAAATACTCTCTTCTGAATAACCTATATATTTAAGCTTGATTTCATTTTGTTAATTTACTTTAACTATATACTGTTTATTGTAGCTCACTACAGTAGAAAAGAGAATTCAAAACCACTATCATTTTGAATGATATAATGATTTTAAGATACCATCATTGCAAGAACCCAGTAAGGTTCTTTGGGAATAGTCTCAAATTGCATTATTTTTTTTAACATTCCTGCGAGAACAATAAAAAAAAACCTAATAAAAACACTAATTGCTCAAACAAAGAACAATTGGTGGATATCCCTTAACTTCTTCTGGGCCAGGCAGGTTAGGGTTCAGAACAATGAGTGAGAGAGAGAGAGAGAGAGGGAGAGGGAGAAACGGGGAAAGAGAAGGGTTATGTACTGTAGCATGACCAGAACTTAATGAGCAATGAGACTGTACTCTGAGCTGAAGCTATTATGTCATGATCAGAGAAAGCTCTTGAATATGCTACGACTTGGAAGTGTAGAAATATATTAATATAGTCATGAATGTAATACAAATGAATACTATCTTATATATTATAACTTATAGTTATATAACTTATAACTTGTGATCCTGTATACTTATAAACAATCATTCTGACCACAGCATATATATTCAAAGCAGTCTCTTGTGAATTCACTGTTCCGTAACGTCAATGCAGATTTGCCATTTATTATGGGAGCTTTACATTCTGAGTTGCATGAAACTCAGTGAAGAATTAAGAAATACAGCAAAACTTAAACTTATCATTGTGCATTGGGGTGTGTTTATACCATGTCATTTGATAAAAAATGTGTTTTATGTAGATTGACAAAAATATCAATGAGATTCTCATCATGGTAAGAGCTTGCCAAGTCAGAAGACTAATCAAACAGAAGGACAAATGGTGCCTTGCAGAGAAGATTCTTGGCTCAGGAAATGCTAACAGGTGTGTGTCTCTCAGTTTTTCCATTATGTGTCAGTTAACAACACCAGTATCAACAATCTCCAGAAGGTTGTTTGCTTTATTCTTAACAAGTATTACCCATCCTGTGCTCATTTGCAGAACCTCTCTGCAAAACTTCAATCCTTTCGGCAGTCACATTAGTTAAACCTGCTTTTTCAACCGTAGGATGAGGGTTTGCTCCCTGTTGCTGATGGCACCTGTGGTACATAGTGTGTACTGCTACATTTGGCTAGCAGCTGAAGTGAGCAGTGCCCACCTGGTGCATCTGACTCATAATCTGAGATTTGCAGCCTCACAAGAGGAAGACAGAAGGGCATTAGCCTGCTGTGAATGCACTCATTGACACCTACACCGCTTGTGTGGTGGAAGTACCTATTTGCAGTTTATTTGGGTGACATGCATTGCATTTTCACTGGCAAAATATATTAAATTGTTAACAGTGACATGCATTTCTAATAGATAGTAAATATAGTGCCCAGTTAGCAATAAAAGCCCCAATAAATCTCAACACAGAAAGGGCCTTTCATAGGTAAACAATGTTCCGTGACATTTACAAACTTTTAAAATTCTTATGGCTGGACAGAAATATTGTTATAGTGCTTTTGCTTTAGAGAACTTCTTCTTTGAGCAATATTTGCTTGAATGTTTAGTGTTTCCGACCCAACCTCTGACTTGATCTTTGATGGACAGGCTTTATCATGCTATCCATGTAAATGTATTCTTGTATGTATGTATTCTTATGTGTGATTTTGGCGCTGGGATTTCTGGTTGTGTCTTTAACCTTTCCTGAAAATGAGCAAAGATTCTTAGAAACGATTACAGGTATTTCCACAAGATGAGAATGACAAAGTGACATGGAACGAAACCTGACAGGGTGGCTTTATTGTTCATCATGCTTTATCAGAGCAATCATTTCGTCGTCTTCAGTAACCAGGAAAGGAGATGGCAGGTTTCAAGTCAGTCATTTGATAGAAGACCCGCATGGTTCGGTGACTAGTGAGCCCTACCTTGTTTTAACATACAGTATCTAGCTTACATTGTGTCATGCTTGATTAACCAGTAAATCTCCTGAAATGTTGTGTCATGATCTAATTGTAGCCAAGTTATAAATGAGAACCTGTTTTTAAATTAGCTGATAGCACTCATTTTTCACCCACAGTGAGCATACACACCCTTCCAAACCAAGTGAAACCTTGTCATTATGAGCACTTTATAATAAATTTTTAGTCTGTTGAATAAACTACTGAAAAGTTTTGACGAAGATGTTCTGTTAAATAAGTCACTCAAAGAAACAAATCAAATTTTGTTTATGGTGACAACTTGGGCAGTGATTCATGAAGGCATGTCACCTTGGTCAGATATTTGAATCTGCCCATTCCACAGCTGACTGATTCTGGTCAGGCATCATGAAATGAAACAGCGGTTTCTCGGCTGAAAAAGTGAGCAATGACTAACAATTAGCCAATCAGCGCCACAGGCGGGACTAACGCCATTGTCAAGCTGTTGTCAAGCTGTTTGCCAGTAACAAGGAGGAGCAATAACAACAATGGCGGCTGCTATAAACAAATAGACGCTATCGAGGCTGTTCTAAGTATTTTGTTTTTACTTATGTCTGCTCCACTCTTAAAACCTCTACAGAACATGTATGTTGACATGGCTACGCATCATTTCATCACTTGAAATGACCTTAGATTTAGGTGGATACGTTGGTCTCTAGTGATAGGGGAAATCGAATCACCCTCCCTCACAGAGTGGAGGCAATATTAGAGTGAAGATGGAAATGGAGTGTAATAGGTTGACTATTCTGTCCGATATCAGGCAAAATATATCTGTGACTAGCTGCATACATTTGTTAGGCGGTTCAACCAGATTAAATGTCAGCTTCTGAGGTAACAGGTTGGTCTATATTTTTTAATAAACTATTTTTGAATGGTTCACAGTAGTATTAAGAAAAACTTTATAAGTAATCTGCTTTTGGAGATGTTATTTTCCTTTTTACATACACACACAGGCCCGAAATAAACAGCACAGCAAGTGTCAGCCATAAACACCAAGAACAGGATATGTGGACTTTTTTGAATGCATCTTACATTTTATCTTGAACCTCTTTTCTCTGCTTGAGTTTTAAGCTCCAAGCCATCCTTTCTAACCATCAAAGTGACCAAAAAACATTGACGTCATCTGCTAAAAAAATGGCATTCTCTTTTGTAACGCTAAAATGGCTTGTGCCAGCCAACTCTGACTGCACTTACATACAAAACAAATCTATAGCGCTCTTTTTGCACATTTTACAATCTTTTAGATATTTTGAAGAAGAGGTTTGCCAGTCAGCCACATTTAAGCTAACAGTGCTTGCTGTATATGAGTGCGTACTACATTTTTTACAAACCCAAATGAATGGACATGGCATACAGAAATGCACGCACAGCTTGCATGGCTGCATCTTTCAGTTGGGTGAACATTTGTGTTAGTGGCCAAGCTGAAACATTTTGCTTTCTGAACAGGAATGGGTACACACCTAGTAATGGCGACCAAGAAATATTGGATCAAAATCTGTAAGGATGGCGGTGCATATGCTGAACATTACAAATTGTTATGAACAGCACCCTCATACCCACTTTTTTGACCCCTTTAATCAAAGTGGGAACAAAATAGAATATATCCTTAGCTACTGCATGTGCATACTGTGCATTATTCTATCTCTACAGTAGATGATTATACTTCCTATATTCTCCCAAACCTGTCACACTCTTTTTCGCGCTCTCTCAATCTTTCTTCCCCTCACTGTGTCATCATCTTCTACTTAATTTCTGTCTGTCTGACTCTCCTTCTGTACCTCTTTCTGTCTCTCTCCCTCCCACATTCTCAGACACAGTGAACTATTCCTGTGTTACTGAAATGTCATCAGCAGGAGTGGGTGAAGAGAGAATAGATAATGACTACACTTGGCCAGTGCCATGGCAACAGCTCGTGTGTGTGCCTGTGAGGAGCGCTAGGTTGCAGAGAGGAGAGACGGTGGTGGGGGGGTGAAAGGGGGTGACACAAACATATGAAGCCATGCCTGTCACATGAAGTAAATATAAAAGGGTGTGAGACAAGGAAGGCAGAGACAAAGGTGTGTTCTACAATACAACAGCATCCTGACCGTCTCTGCTCATGTGTTATTTTAGGACTACTTTATTTATAATGTTGCAGTCCACTTGTAAACAAAAATATACTCTGACTCTTGCTTTTGTGTCTCCCAAACATACACTTAATCGTTCATGCAGAGAAAAGGTTGTGGGGTGCAGTGGGGTGCAGTGGGGTGGGGGTAGTGGTGGGAGGGTGAAGTATAAATAGTAATTCCACTTTGCACAAAGAAAGCACTGCTCCTCTTAAATGAACGAAAGAAACCCCTGCTCCTGCATCAAATCCACGCTGAATGTTGCAAAGCATCGCTGCAAGATACAACGTCTGAGTATTTGGACACAAAGGACAAAACCCAAAAGCTGATGGATTAATGAGTGTAGAAGCTTGGTTTGGTTCTTTACTCTTCATGTTTCCCTCTTAGCCGTCACGACAAGCATGAAAGCCTTATCAAGCAAACAAAGACGGTCCATCCCTCGCTGAAGCAGTTCACACCCCTCTGACTACCCAAACAGCACATACAGACGTGCACTCTTCAGTGGAGTGCTGACACTCAATGGACAAAAGAATTACCACAAACAGCTGCTCTTTCCCTATGCAGAAAGGGAAAGGCTAACATTTGTGCTCTTGTCTCTGCGGAGGCACCACCAACACACTGACAAAACACCCATGTCAGATTTACTTAAAATCTACCATAAAATGCAAATACTTCTCACCTTTCTGGGTCTGCCCCTCATCCATGTCTTCTTCCATTGTGCTGATTCTGTTTTTAGGGCAACAAAAGATCTGTAAAACAAAATGCCTGTTTGCGTTGCAGGTTCAAAACCTTATTTATTTTTAAGGGGTAGTCCACAAAGCACTTCCGCTTTCTTTCTCTCTGTCTCCCTTTTATACTTTCTCTAGATGTCCCTACTGAACGCCAAGATTGCCTGTCAGCTGTGGTTTCTGTCAAGCGTCCGGGTGATGCGAGGGATCACTGAGTCTTTGTGGTGCTGTCCATTGCGAGCTGCCGTGGCAAGTGCAGAAAACCTACTTGGTCCCTGGTGGAGAAGGAGGAGGAGGGGAGTAGGGGGGGCTGGATGGAGCAGAGGGTGGTCTCTAGGCAGGAAAGCGCATATGTGACGTGGTTGGTGTGGAGTTGAAGAGGCAGGTATAGGGAAAAAATGTAGAATTAAAACACTGAACGCACCATTGGAACAGAGACTGAGCAATGAATCTAGACCTTCTGACTGCTTCATGTTTAGACGGGGGTGTTCACAAGTGTGGGTCACCATTACTTACCCAGCCCACCCTAAACACCCCTGGCTCTCAGACAGAATGGTTAAGCCCACCGGCCCCCCGCGGCAGTGACTCTACAGCATTAACTCAACCTCTCCTTAAATAAGGGAGGGGGTTCTGATTTCAAAATGGGATTCTCCTAATCGTATTAGTCATACAGATTCAATTATACGATCACCAAGGAGGTGTCTTTGGATTCTTATCATGTAAATGCACATTATATGTGTAGACAGACACTGCTTAAGCAAATTGTTGACCACTTTTAAGATCAAGGATTATGTGGTCTGCTATAGGTTCAGGTTTGGTTGGTACTTTTCCTATTTCCCCCCAAAATACTATTCCAAAATACCATTTTGTGAGATGTGCATTCAGTCTTCAATTAACCTCAAAGTGTGAATGTGAACATAATGTCATGTATTAAAGAAGGTTGTGCAAAAGTCTTGACTAGCAAGCATATAGCACCATGACAACAAATGCAGAATATTGAATGCAAAATTTGTCAACATTTTCTGAAAGTCACGATTTAATTCAATACATAAAGAAGTAACTGTGAGAAGTAACTCACAAGATGCAGCCAAAGGCCAAACAATATAACAAATATATTGACTAATTGAGGGATGAATAGAAGGATGGTAGGCATATGGGAAACTTGTTAGATCATTGGGGTACATTAAACTGCTGTGGAATGAAATGTGCTGTATGAACCTGACATGACTTGAAGTACGGACAGATGGGTGTATGGGTAGATGATCAGGCAGCTGGATTAGATGAAACTTTAATGATCCCTGTGGGGAAATTGAGTTTCTGCAGCAGCAGAGAACTGGAAAGCAATAGAGGAGGAGGCAAGTAAAGAGTTCTGAGAATGATATAAGTAAACACACTTAAAATACTAATATGGCTTAAATAGATGTTAATAATAAAGAGATGGACTGGTTCATGGAAAGACCCGTTTGTAATTGAACAGTTGGGAATTTCTTTTACAAGGTGTCCCTGGGTGCATATAATCAATAACTTAAGTTTAGGCACACACTCTGTGATGGTTGTGGTAAGGGTAATTGGCTTAAGGAGGCTGTAAGAGTAACATAGCAAGCGAACTTGCAGTATCAAAGTAAACAAGGGACTTAGAAATGCAGTTCCGGTCCTAGGATTGCGGCCCTGAAACTGCAGCCTCCAGTACTGCAGCTACATACTATTCCCTACAGCAAGCGGCAACCTCTGGCTCTCACTTCCGATGCAATCAGGAAGTAACAAAAAATTGCAATTCATCAGGTGGCCACTTGAGGCTGGCTGCAAAAGAAAATCTCCATTGACCCCCATGTTAAAATGCCCAAACTTACAGCAGAATAAAACATGTTTACAACCTGGTTCAAAATATGATTTTAGTGTTTATATAGCTAATTTTGTCATTTGTGACAACTGTGAGGGGGGTGAATTTTTTATAATTCTCCTGTTTAAATTATATTAAGGTTAACGTTCTGCATTATTAGGGGTGTGGCCGCTTTGATTGACAGGTGGCTGCTGCCACTGTCATGGCTTGTCTCTTTCCTCTGTCTGTTAGCCTCACTCAGCTGATCCATGGAGCTCTGTGGCTCTGCCTGTTTGAGCCTTTTGGAGATTTCTTCATGCAAATACCAGACGAATAATGGCAGGCTTTGTCGTTAATGGTAGAGAGAGACAGTTCAAGAAGACTGGGCTCCAGGTGGTGAGTGAAATTCTAGTACTTTATTTTTGTGTAACATTAATTAGCAGGTATAGGTGTTTACATGCATAGCTTGTTAGCTTAGCTCACTAAACTAATTAGCAGTTTCAAGCAGCCCAAAGGTGTGCTAATGATGCTAAATGAAAGGGAATGTGTGCTAACCCTTAGCATTCCAAGTAGTGCATTGCAGTTAGAAATGAACAACTAGAAATGTTCATAATAAGAAGATTGCTATCTCTCCCTTAAACAGTCTCTCTGTAACGACGCGTCAACAATGAAATTTCACATCGACTAATTTTTATAATTGTCATCAATTACGCCGACTAATCTTTGCAGCCCTACTCTGCACCTGTGGTGAAAACAGGTAGCTGGGCTCTAGGGGGATGTTCCTGAGTTTGGTAAAGTTAGATTAGTTAAGGAGATAAATTAGGTGTGTGACAGCTGCTTCTCAGTTTGTTTGGAGATTAGAATTTGTGATAAAAAATGTATGTCAAGTAGTACAGTTTAATAAGAAATATAAAATAATTTATTAATAAATATACAGCAAGCTTACTTGAGTGGTCAACATGTGTCTAGTAGCATAGATTATTGCACATTGCCTTTCAGCATAGATTTTTATTGCAGTGTCCGACAGCAAGATTAATATTGCACACATGAACACTGTAATTCACATTGCCACCCTAATTTTTGCAACATGCCAGAGAGGCTATCAAGCTGAGGCGATCTCAGAGTTAAGTATGTTTATGGCAGGTGGGGGAAAAAACTGTGTACTGTCAGTAAGTAACTGTACCCATCTTGTCTTTCATGTACCAGCGCTGCTTAATCCAGAACCCATCCAAATGAAGCACCATCTAGCTCTACAGGAAATAACAGTCCCAGCTTCCAGCAAGGCTCTTTCAGATCCTGCACATTGCTTGGCTCAGCCTTTTCTTTTAACCTTTACTCCACAACACCTGAACACTACTAATTTCAAATTACGACACTGGGTTCCTATGAACAGGTTCTATCATTATATAACTGCTACAACAAGTCATAAATAACTACTTTACCATTTTTAACCTTTAAATATTGATGTTTTCATGAATGCAAGATTAAATTGTTAAACTATTGCTTGTGTATTAGGAATCATTTTTGTTATATAAAATTGATCAGACTAAATATACTAAAAATAAAGTCACATTCTTCAGTCATCAGTTTCCTATGTTAATTGTAAATAGTGTGATCTAAACTTAACAATATGTTATAGTTAACAGCTGTAAATGAAAATATTAACATGGTGTTTATAGGTTAGTAGTAGTAGTATGTTAGTAGAAAGTAAAAAAAGAGAAGCTGATGTTTATACTGGTTTTATTTGGACATTTCTTTAAGAGACAAATGTGACATTCCCTTAGTCTTGTTGAAAAAAATAATTATCTGCCAACTGAATAGTTTTGAAGCCAAGTAGAAGTTGTCATATATTGCAAACTCTGAGAAGGTTTAGATGCACCTATTTACCTAAAGTAATAAGTAATAATTGTTTCTGTTAACATAACTTTCATTTATTCTTAGACTTTAGAGTACGTCACGATTAATAATACAACCTAGTTAGATTCATAACTACTCTGTGCACGTCAGTCTTTGTTTCAGCACTTACCAACAGGTTGGTCTGGATGTGTATATTCTTATGTGTTTAAACCAGACTTAAATCGGAGCAGCAAAGAAGGCACTCTTCAACAACATCAGGCTCTGGTATTGGGTGTATGGCCCTGAATGTATCTTTAAGCATGAGGTAGAAAGTAAAAATACTCCAGCACACAGAAATACACTGCATAATCACTTTCATGTAAAACATGAAACATGTTTTGGGAGTATTTTCATTTTTCAACTTGTACTAAACTTTTCTCATTTAACAAAAGTTCAGTTTTAATATTTGATGTTTTATCTGTGTTGTATGATTAGCATGTCCTTGGACTTTCAGTCAGTAGTAAAGTCAAAAAGAGTTAAAATGGACATTAAACACATATGGACAATATTTAAAACTAAAAGTAAACAAAAGAGGAGAAGGGCATTCCATGTCAGTCCACCCAAATGTGTAATAAATGCTGCAAGTTTCTCCAGCCCTTTTTTGTTTTAATCTTGGTGATTACAGTTTATAGCTCATGGAACTCAAAACTCCAGTATCTGAAAATGTATTACAATTTTACAGAAATGTCAACCTGAAAAGAGCTCTTTAAACAGCTAATTAACTCAAAAAACCAGCAAAGGGTTCCTGAGCCTTTAATTTCTCAGTCTAGTTCTGCTGCTCACAATGAACTTTTCCATGTTCAAATTTTTTGAGATGCACCTCTAAAAGATGGCAATACTATTATGTCAGATGTGGGAGCAACACCTCAAAATGACTGATGATGATTGATAACAATAGTCAACAGAATTTTTTGTGTTGTCCTTTGAAGACATACAAGGTAATATCAGCTGACAAATGTCAAGTAGCCAAGACTAACATCAGTACTTATAGTTAAAGCTGTGTGTAGCAGACGTGGAGGAATCACAACCTCAACAAGAACCGATCACTGAAAGAAATAAACATCTTGTGACAAATATCAAAGTGCTCATCTCTCTCAACAGTCATATTTAAGACAACAATCTCACACAGCACTGTCGCTAGCAGTAACATTAACGTTAATCTAACGGCCAATGTTTTGTAATCTAAACAGCTAATGTTACCACAGACCTGCAAACTCCTCAGAGTAAAAAAGGTGACAGTGTCGGGGGGGGGGGGATATATGTGTAAACACTCACATTTAACTTACCCACATCACGACAACGCACAGCGCGCACGACAACCTAATATTCAGGGTAGCTCAGAATTCGAGTAGTAGCCGTATATCTCGGAACTCAGGGCGGTTAACGATGAGCCTAGTTTGACTTACCTCAAATTTCACATAAGATTCCTTCACGTTATGAGTTTCCATCAGACTCGCGTGGTAGCCAGGTGTCTCATCCAATGGCGAGCTCAGTTGACGCTGTGTGCTTCAAGATTCTGACGCAAGTGCTAAGATTCCGATTGGCCCAGAGAAATGACAACTATAAGAATTATCCAATAATGTTTCGCAATTCTAGCCTGCATGGCATGCAGAAGCCTGCCCCAGCAGCGACAGGTTTGCAGGTGTGTACCATCATATGTCACTTAATCTAATAGGAATCTAATGCTAGCTTATTAACTTTGACTCGTATTAAATGATCAAGT